ATCCAGCTTTTGTCTGTCTCTGCAGTATAAACTTCAACTTGTTCGAAGCTCGATTGATCCTATTTTGCTCAAGTAACATACCTTCTGGGAGTGCTTCTTTTCTGGAGGTGACTTAGCAATTGAATAAACTTCTTTATTATTTGCTCGATCAATCCTTATTATTTGCCAGGTGCTCCCTTCACTTTCAATTGGCTGAGTAATGATCAGGTGAGGTTATGGACCTCAAGGGCTAGTTTTAGCCTAGCAATCAATCATATTCTGCTCTATTATTTGTAATTGAAAAGTTGAGTTGAATTGCATATTGTATTCTGACTTTATTTGCCCTTGTATTATGATGTCTGCTCCAGCTCTCGAGTTTCCTAGTGCTCCATCATTGTATAAATTCCACACCTTTTTATATTTGTTATTGAGTTCTACTTCGTTTTGCTCTTGGTCAGGATCTTTAGAGAATTCTGCCACGAAGTCCGTCAAGACTTGCCTTCATAGATGGGTGAGGCATGTACCTGATGTCAAATTTCCTACCCTAATAGAACATTCTACAAGTTGTCCTAAGGTCTCGCCTCGATGTAATATTTTCTTAAAAGAATGGTTAGTTCTCACAAATATAACATGAGATTGAAAATAATGACATAACATGGCAGAGGAAGTTAGCACGAGAAATGTTAGCTTCTCGATGTTTAGGTATCAGAGTTTGGCTCCTCGAAGAACTTTGCTAGTGGAGTATACGGGATACTATTTTCCTTCTTCTTCTCTGACTAACACCGATGCTACAGTGTCTCGTGTGGTGGCCAGGTATAGAAACAAAGGTTCGTCTTTCTTTAGGCGGCTGAGTAGAGGTGGTGAAGAGAGGAACTCCTTTATTCTATCAAAGGTGAGCTGGCTGTCTTCATCCTAGTTAAACCCTTTGAGTTTTTTTAGGGCCTATAAAAAGGCATGCATCTCTTAGCCGAACATGAGATAAACCATACTAGTGTAGTTATTCTCCCATTTAACTATTGTACTTCATGTATATTCGAAAGGGGCTTCATGTCTAATACAACTTTGATTTTTTAGAAGTCGCCTTTATGCCTCTTTATAATATCATGAAGCTAAGGAATTTGCTAGCTCGGTCACTAAACGTGCACTTCTTTAGATTGAGTTTCATGTTGAATTCCTTGAGTACTCCAAAGGCTTCCTTCAGATCGTCTTGAGACCAATAAGATTTCTGCAATGCATTGCACACCAAGGTGGAATGGAAATCATGGCTTTCAAATTGTTGAAGGGGAGTAGGGACATATAGTTGAACTTAGAGCCAAGACCTGTACTTATAGGTCATGGGAATTAAAGGGTAATACCTTGTCAATATGTCATTTGTGCTATGTCTCATAGGAAGCTTGATCTAGAAAATTATATAGTACATTGGTACAGAAAAGACACATATTTGAAGGCTTATGCAAACGACATTTAGCCTGTGTTAAGCATGCTATTATGGCCTGAATCTAACAATCCAGTAGTCTTGCCTTCAACTATAGAGAGAAAAAGAAAACCAGGGAGAAAGAAGCTGTCAAGGAGAAGGGATAATGATGAACCTAAAAAGAAAGATTGGAAAGGCAAGTAGGAAGAGCTAAGTTATGAAATGTGGAAAATGTAAACAACTAGGGCATAATACAAGAGGATGCCTTCTCAAAGGAAAAACAACTCCTTAGGTATTCTGTTACTTCACTTTTTTGATATTATGTATAAATGTATTATTATACTAAAATAATTATGTTAACTTTAATTGACAAGCTTCATAGACACAATTTGGGACATCAACTGTAACAGGAACTTCAACTATAGTAGCCTTCAACTGAAGCAGGATCTTCAAATCCAAGAATTGGGATACCCATTATGTCAACTCCAACTCATCTAGTTCAAATATGTACAATATGTTTGAAGATTTTTTTTTTATCATGTGCGCTTATGCATGAAATTGTTTGTATAGGTCAATGAGTTGTATTACACAGATATTAGGAGTAGTGAAACAATTTTAAGTTATATGGAAAAGACACCATTAATGGATGAAAGAGGGAGTGCAACTATTGATACAGGGATTAGAAATGGAGCTGGTAGGGGAAGTCGAAGAGGTTTGTATCAAGATAATGCAACTGTTAATGTGGGAAGGAGAAATGGATCACCTTCTGAGAAACGCAAGTCTTATAATGCATGTTGGTAGAGGAGATGGCAGAGGAAATAGTAGAGGTGTAGCAAATGCAAATGCAGTCAGAAATAAGAGAAGGTTTTATGAGCCTACAGCCAGTTCACAAGCAAAAAGGCAATTCATTCCCAGATGAGTGGTGTATACATCAATGAAGCATCAAGTTTTTCAACATACTAGGTAAAATTTTTAGAATTAACTAATTAACTTAAACCAATGCATATTGAATGATGCCTAAAGGGTTGTCCTTTTTGTTTTGTATTCAATGACTATGGCTCCAAAATTATAACGACACCAAAGCAACTTAGGAGCTAAATAGTTGTGACTGGAGATTTGGGATTTAAACTACTAGGGTTGAAGTGGAAGGGGAAAAATACAGTTATAACAAGGTAACTGCAAGAGCAAAGAGATAGAGCAACTGCATAAAGAGCAAACAATAGACAAGCCCAATTTCAAAACTTCAAGGAAAGAGGAAGTAGCCAACCTTCACAAGCTGTCAACAATCCATATGTTTAGATGTTAGGATTTGTGAAAATTTAGTTTTGGCATCTAGAAGACTGAAAACTAGTGTTTTTTTTTTTTTTTTTTTTTTTTTGGAAAGAGGAAGTAGCCAACCTTCACAAGCTGTCAACAATCCATAATGTTTAGATGTTAGGAATTTGTGAAAATTTAGTTTTTGGTTGCATCTAGAAGACTGAAACTAGTGTTCTTTTTAATTTTTTTTTTCTTTGATATATGTTCTGTCCTATTTTATTATTTTGGTCATGTTGACTTATGTCCCATATGCAAGGAAAGTGTTTAATGCTTATTAGTGTTGAACAATGATTTTGTGGTAGTGTAGATGCATAAATTTAGTGTGCACTTTGAAATAAATTGTATTGTTAACAATTCCATTACAATGTTATATATAATTAATGTATTTTGTCAGTGTAAGCTCCATTGAAAAATAAAAACTTGGTAACTAAAGCAATTCATTGCAATTGGAAAATTTATGTATAAAGTAGATAGTAGCACTTACACACCAAACCCCCATGCTATGCTTCATCCACATGAAAATAATCCCATATATGGCTCTACTTTTTTTTTTTTTTTTTTTTTTTTTGTATGTTCTGTCCTATTTATATTATTTGGTCATGTTGACTTATTCCCATATGCAAGGAAAGTTTAATGTTATATTTGAACAATGATTTGTGTTAGTTAATGATAATTTAGTGATTTGAAATAAATTTATTGTTAAATTCATTACAATGTTTGATATATAATTATGTTTTTGTCACTTAAAGCTCATTGAAAATAAAACTTGGTAACTAAAGCAAATTCATTGCATTCTAGGAAAATTATGTATAATATAGTCACTTACAACCAAGCCCCCATGCTATCTTTCTCAATAAAATAACCTTGGCTCTATCCAGACCTAAACTAGACAAAACAACAACACTACATTTCTTTACAACTAACCATTTTCTTTATTTAAACTAGCCCAAAACATATTGCACTAACATAAAAAAAAAATGCTAACAATGCAATAAACATTTAACATCCTGCAGCGCAAACAACAACACAACACTAATAATCCAGCGAAGCACCCACCTCCTCCTCCTTTCTTCTTTGTTCATCTTTATTTTTCTCATTAAAGTCACGCATTGGTGGACATGCTACCGAAAGAAGTTGTAGGACACAAGTTTCTATACGTAGGAGTACAAGCAAAAAGCTTATTAAGTGATACACTATTGCAAAATGAGCTACAATGAACTTATCTCCACTTATCTCATATTGTGGACACCAAAAGAATCGACGTCCACAATTTGATTCGGTGTATAATATCTTCAATAGAGCAATTTGCCCACAATTGCACTTTAAAATTAGGTAATCGAGGGATGATCCATTTATGTCAAAAACCCTAGATTTCAAATGTGATAACCCAAGTTTCCCTTTCTGTAGCAAGCTTCTTAATCCTTCACAAATGTTGCTCTTTCCAGTTTGATTCAAGTCGGAGAAACACAATTAGGTTATGAAGAGGGAAAGAGGTTAAAGACGTCTTTAGGATCGATTTTGGAGATTTAAATTAAGAAAGTACAAAGCTATTAATGTCTCTTCTTCCCCAAGTTAGTCATTGCCCATTCAACACACTTGACTACTTACGTGGCTCAAAAAAATATGTTCTCATGCTCCAATTTGCAATTGCGTTCACTTTCCTTATCCTATGTGGCTAGAAACATGGTTAGCTAAACACTCGTAAAATACATGAACCACTAGGAAAAACGAGGATAGTTCAGGGAGAAAATTTATAAATTAGGCGCCTTTAAACACAAGTTTTAACAAATGTCATCTCACGATAACTCCGTACAAAATTTAACAATGTTTTGAAAGGTTTCCTAAAAAAAACATTGTTTTGAAAATAATCCTCAAAAATAGGCGAAGACGTGAGGTAGAATTAACCCACATGCGGTCAAAATGTTAAATAATAGTAAAAAGGTCGCAGCCGCAGTAAAAACAAAAAACAAAATAATATCAAAGAAGATAATCAAATAGAAACAAAAAATAAAGGCAGGCTGTATATGTATATGTATCTGGTTTTCCTCTTCTCTCCATGTTTCATCCTATAAACTCTCCTTTGCAATTGCCATAACCGCAACTCTTCTTCTTCTTCTTCTTCTTCTGTATCCCAATTCCCATTTTCACAATTCTAGTTATGTCTGGATTGAGAAAATGGAACAAGGTCAAGCATTTCCCTCTCATATTTGCTCATCCAGATCGTCTAATCAATCGCTATCTCCATCGCTTGACTCAGCTCTCCACAATCTCCACTCATTTCAACTATCTCAATATTGGATGCAACCGCCGGAGAGAGTCGCTCATTGGACTTCAAGAGAGGTACAAATGGGACCATGGATTTGGCGGTGGTGGCAGCGGCAATTCCAGTGACGGCGATTCCAATGATATAAGGAAAATTAGGGCTGAGACTAATTGCCCTCGTTGTTCTAAGCATATGGATCTCCGTTTCTCCAATCGTCACTTCCCTTCCTCTAATAACCCTAATCTTGATTTGAATCCCAATTACCATCATTACTCGAATCGTAGTAATAGTACAGACACTAACAATACCACTAGTAATAGTAATAGTAGTTATGAGGCCGTTAATTTTTGCCCCAGTTGTAAAACCGCTTATTACTTCCGTCCGTACAAAATTGCTCCTCTTCAGGGTAGCTTTATTGAGATTGGGAGGGTAAGTAACAATAATAATCATAGACATAATACCAGAAACACATCCATCAAGAACTCCAATAATGGCATTGAAAATTCCTTGGAGGATTATAACACTAGTACCAATGCTAATGCTATTAGTAATAGACTCAGGGCGTCATTTTGGAATACTCTTAGGTCCTATGCAGGGGAACCACCTGAGAATTGGCCTCCCCCTGGTGGGAATGTTCTTGCGGTCCATACTCCACCTGGGCCTCCGTTTGCTCCTGGGGTTAATGTTATTAGAACCGCAGGGCCAGGTGGAGGAGGTGGTGGCTCAAATGGTGGTGGTGGTGGAGCTGAAGGAGCAGCTGGAGGAGGAGAAAGGAGTAATGGATGGGGTGGGTCTAATTTGGGCAAGGAATTACCTACGCCAAAGGAGATTTGCAAAGGTCTTGATAAATTTGTTATTGGTCAAGATAAAGCCAAAAAGGTTTGCCCTTGTATCTGTATTTTATTTATTTCGCTTGAACAATTGCTAAATTCTGTATTTCAGCGTCATCAATAGATATTATGCTGGACAGGGTTGTTTGATCAATTGACAAATTCTATATTTCAGCGTCATTAATTGACAATGACATTATGCTGGCTTGGGTTGTTTGGTCAATTGCTAAATTCTATATTTCAGTGCATTAATTGACATTATGCTGGATTGAGTTTTTGATAGGTGACGTAATTGGGTTTCTGATATTTGCAATAGAAGGCATGCTGGCGTTAAGGATATATTTCTCTTTTCCAGAGTTTGTGATTTCCCTGAATGCATTGAAAACATATACACTACTTCTTTGGGTATTGTAGATCATGTGTCTTCTGGTAGCATGTTAGGTCAATATATTTACATGTCCTGATTGTAGTTGTTATGTCATCTTAGTGTCTACTTAATCAAGAAGTTATTTTTCTTGCTTGTCACTTTGACTTGATTCTATTAACTTTCATTTATTGTTTTTCTGTGGGTTATTGTCAATATGACATTGTTAGTACTTAGGCTTTTGAAGATTTTGTGATGATCCATTCAATTAGCTTGTTATATGAAGTTTCAATGGGCATAGTAAACAAGTGGTTAACATTTGTATTGCAGGTACTTTCTGTGGCTGTATACAACCACTATAAGAGGATTTACCATGCCTCTTTGCCAAAAGGGTTAGTATTGGTTTATTTTCTTACCTTATCATATTGCAGTCTCTATCTTAATTTGCATATGAAATCAAGCTATTGCGAAACATGACCTTTGTGTTCTGATACTAGGTCAGCAGCAGAAGCAGGAAATTCAGATGCAATAGACGATGACGATAATGTGGAGCTAGAAAAGAGTAATGTGCTCCTGATGGGTCCGACTGGCTCGGGTATGGTCTTTACTCTTTGTTTACATGTTTTTACCATCAGCAAGCAAAGCAGTGAAAACCATCACTTCCTGCATTCTTATATTGTTAGCCCTCCAGTGAAGCTTCAGAATTTAGAATACTAGACTTTCTGACTTTCTGTTTTGAGTGTTAAACAGGCAAGACGTTGCTTGCAAAAACACTAGCACGCTTTGTCAATGTGCCATTTGTCATTGCCGATGCAACAGCCTTGACTCAGGCAAGTCAATTTTATATCATTGTCTTATTGTGAATAAGTGAAAGTGTCATTTTCTTTCTCTCTTATTTAGTGTTGCACATCCATGCAGAACCTTTAAATTCCTGTCAACTTTTGGTCTAATTCTTTTATTTCCTCGGTTTTTGGTGTTCTGTCATGCTCTTTTTACTGTTATAAAGTTTTATTGGAAAGGCAAACTTGGCACCAGAATGGTTGGAATTTCACTTGACTCTAATAGCAGTGTTTCACTCTGTAAAAGTGAAATTGCAAAGCAAGATTTTTGTTTATCCATTTTTTGATTTTAATGCTTTCCCATTCATGTGTCTAGTCTTTTTTTTTTTTTTTTTTTTTTTTTTATTGAAAGGCAAACTTGGCACCAGAATGGTTGGAATTTCACTTGATCTAATAGCAGTGTTCACTCTGTTAAAAGTGAAAGTGGCAAACGGCCCAAGATTTTTCGTTTATATTCCCATTTTTTGAATTTTATGCTTGCCCGCCATGTCACAGTAGTGTCTAGTCTTTTTTTTTTTTTATTCTATTATTTATTTCTTTTATTTATTTTTTTTTTTTTTTTTTTTTTTCTTTCTTATTAGCATCCATCTGAAAGAGGCATTTTTTGCAGGCAGGTTATGTTGGTGAAGATGTTGAATCAATATTATATAAATTACTCACGGTATACCTCACATTTGGCTTCTTTTTGTTGTTTCATATGCTTTCAATGACATTACACTACATTCTTAGTCCTGTTCTGGATGTCCAGCAGATAGTTCTATTTCTTCTATTTTATTTGAAGTCCTGTTCATTAATATTTTTTTTCTTATCTTTTTCTTTTAAATAAATTATTTCTAATATATAAAACCCTTTATTTTTTGGGTTGAGATTCCTGTTCCTTTACTTGATGAAGGGAACAAGGGTATTGTGTTTCTCCTAAATTTGATGCTCTGAAGCTGCAAAGATGCTATATTAACTATATAAAAGGCCGAGGCAAAGAATAAACTCATTAACTTGGGAGTTAGGGAATTGGAATTAAAGCAACGACCTAAGTTTTTCGTATTAAAACTATAAATACACCCCACTTTAATATTTTAGTCACATCTAATTTCCCACTTTAATGAAAACAAACTTTTAATGCATTTTCTTCACGTATTTTATACTTAATTCCATCTAAAGTGTTCTAAATGTGCAATTTATGATAACTTAGGTATTAAAAGGCCATCCATGCAAAAACTTAGGAAGGAAAAAAGTTCTTTCTATTTAAAAATTTAGAGATGAAAATGAATGATATTTTAAGTATGTATAATTAATTAAGCAATTATTCAGTCACTTTGAGGGAAGCTTCTTTTATGGATAGATTCTACAAATTCTTATCCATTTCCTATCCTCATCTTGATGACAAAAGAGGCTATTCTATGAATTCATCACGTTGTTAAGTGCACCTTTGCCCTTTTACATGGAAAGGTACCTTCTTTTGAGGAAGATAAATTGCATTTGATGAATGCCTGAGCTGGCACTTGTCAAATGTGAAGCCTGGAATCGAGTGCTTATGCCATTCTTTACGGATGCATTTCCAGGTGGTTTAGTTGGAAATCATCCATTAGAGCTATGTTTAAGTGTGTCCTGAAATGCTCTATTCTATGTAAAATGGTGTTTTTTTTTCTAACGTTCTGTTCGTCCATTTTTTTTTTTTCAACATTGTATTTCTTTTAATATAAATTGGTATTCAAGTATGTACTGGGTCTTTGCCCTTGTCGCTTTAGGTGGCCGAGTTCAATGTGCAAGCAGCTCAGCAAGGGATGGTCTACATTGATGAAGTTGATAAGATAACTAAGAAGGTTCTCTGAATTTTCTGTCCTGTGATTTGGGTAATTTAATAGTTAGGTGTTCTTTTTGTCCAAACTTTTCTTAATTGCAGTTATTTTTCAGGCTGAGAGCTTAAATATTAGCAGAGATGTTTCAGGTGAGGGAGTGCAACAAGCGTTATTGAAAATGCTGGAGGGAACAGTGAGTAACTCGTCTCTACACCACTGGTTGACTGTTAATGCTTGTTTAAAATCTTCCGGTCACGTGTCTTGACCTAACTTATAGGATGTTGATTGTAGAAATTTTAGGAACTATTTTATCATGTGCTTTTCAAAAAATTACTTATCATAATATTTTTGGATTTTTCTATAAAGCAAAAGTGATAAATAAAGTATTTGTTTGAGTTAGTGGTTTTGGTCACTTGTTGATGACTGCAGCTAGTGGTTAAATATTGAGAGGCGGCACTAATTATTGAAAACCTAAACTTTGAAGTGCTAATCCTTGGATTTTCAAACACTTATTTTAATGAACTCTTCAAACAAGTAGTTAACATTTCCAATGCCAACCTACTCCAATCACTCTTCCGAAATATAGTTGACGTACTTGAAGAGAAAAGTAGATACTCGAAGTATAATCTAGTAACAAATTTATCAATATGAAAATCTAGGAATTTTCACCTACTTCAAATAGTAGTCTTGATTCTTAGTTTGCAGTCTGTATTATGTTAGTTGTTGGTTCTTGGTTAATTGGCAATGATATTTGAATCTGTGTGTTCTTTTCAGTTCTAAGACCAATCTTATTTAAGAAAGATAATATACTACTGCAGTCCATCACACACACTCACACTTATTGTTTTTCCATATATTTTTTAATTGCCTCCACCTAAAATTTCTGCCTGCTTCTGTTATGTCTTGCTGCTTCTGTTATGTCTTGCTGCTTAACTTTCTTGTACTTCTTAGAAATAATTTTGGTAGTCTTTTCAACTAAGTTGAAATAAGCATCAAACCAACTGCAGTTGGGTTCACCTATATGTTTGGTCGATGGAAGGTTTCTTTTGCCTTGATAGTTTTTGTTGTCTAGCTCTCATGTCTCAACTTCTTCTCATGCACTTGTCCATTGTGTTCCGGAGGCTTTTCCTTATTTCTCACCTCATCTAGGCATCGATATGATAATAAAAATTCTCTAGACCAACTTATTTACCACCACCCGTCTCTGAAAAGTAGAGATCGTTACCTGTTTAACATAACATATGCATGGGCATGTGCACTTTATACATCCCTGTCCCTTTTTTTTTAATACTTGAGCTCATATTGTAGCAAATCGCCCTATCACTTGATGGGAATTGTCCAAGGGTTTATCTGTTTATAACCATATCATGAAGATGGGACAAAATGTTTTGGCGGTTGCCACCTACCGTAACTCTTGTCCTTTGTTTTAGGCTTGGGATTGGCTAAATACGATATCACTAAGGTCACACTTACATAGGTTAGAGTTTTAGGAATTGCTGACAGGCAATACTCTAACTTTGTGTTTGTTAACTGGGAAAAGAGGAGAATTATAGACATGCAATGCTCTACTATAACCCTCGACCTTCATTCAATGTTCTCAAACCATTATCAAAGGTAGGATTTGCAGAGGCATTACCTTTTTGGACCGTTGTGCCATTGGTTGTGATAATCATCCATTTTCTTAGCTTGCACAGACTGAGCCTCTGTCATTTTCTCTTCTATCTTTCTAAAATATTCTTACATCTTAAATTGTAAGCTTTCCATAATCTGATTTTGGAGGAGATTTCTCTGAGGGCTTGTAAAAGAGATGAATAGTCGTTTCAACTCGCTTCTTTTGTTTTTTGAAGCATGGAATGAGATTTTTTAACAGATAATTGAGAAGAAACAGAAGAGAAGGATCATAGTTCTGATACCACTTTGTTAGGAATTGGAGACCTGTAATGCCCTTACTTGTGTTTGTTAACTGAGAAAAGAGAAGGAAACGCAGAGAAAGGGAAAGAAAGGGAGAGAAAGAGATGGAATCAAGGATATAGAGAATTGATGGATTTTGGAGAAAGTATTATTGATTGTAAAATGTCTTAACTGCTCATACAAAACGATGACAGTATTTGTCGTAACTAAGCCCAATAACTGCCACATATACACATACTTAACAATTCAGTCCAAATTACATGTAAATGCAGCCAAATTACCATGCAATCATATCATATAGTGTCTAGCAATATGTAAAAAATATTGTAAAAAAAAAATTCATTGCTTATACTAGGAATTAATGAAGAGGTAACATAAAATAATGCAATAAAACTTGAGCATTCTTTAGGATTTGAAAGACTATGTCTGGTTTCAATACTAGCATTGAGAACTGGAGTTTTTTATCGAGTGCATTGCGGAAAAGTTGTAGGCTAAAGAAGACCTCTGATAGATTCTAAACAAGGAGAAATCCTGGAAATTTCAAGATGTGATAGTATAACAATTCTAGATTTAGATGTTTTGTTTTGTTCTTAAAGCTAGACTCAGGGAGAAATCTCTTTCCAAGTTTTACATTGTCACAAGTTGAATGTCTCTCGTTATTAATGATGGTAACATTGTGACTTAAGCATCAATGCATTCATAGAAATTATTGCTTAGATTTTGTAACTGTAGAAACATGCAGGTTCCTTGACATAGATATTTACAAGCTTCTAATTCTGTTGCTACTATATCATAGAACATTAAAAATTGTATTTTTTTATGCTTTGAGATTTCTACGATATCATAAAGTGTCAATTGGCCTGTTGATGTTAAGTTGTATTGGGCCCTCCTTTCTGCAATCGAGGGAGTCTGTTGGAAAATAAATTTCACGTTGAATTAAATGTAAAATATAACAAAGGATTATAATTGAGTGGGTGTTGGACCAAATATAAAACCAATTATCGTGTAATCAAACTTCATCTCTTTTGCTAACCTGAAGAGATGATCTGTTATTGTATTGAGGCAGGATAAGTGGATCTCTTTATTCTACAAACATAAATCTAGCATGCTTTGTAGTCCATTGATTGTATCAACGCATCTAGAAGGTGAGTGTGTCGTAACAAATTAAAGGTTCAAGTCATGGTTGACAGACTTTCACAGCTTACTCCTTTAGCGAATTATGTAATTTCAATGATATCCGTACCACATACTGAGTCCTATTTGTATTTTTTGGAATTGACTGAAAAGCAAGAACTGGGGGTCTAATTTTACATCCCATGTTAATTCTTGCTTTAGAAGGACAAAATTTAGGGAAACTATATAAAGGAATTAAATTGCCATTGCCTGTAATGTGTGTGATTTTGGTATGTTTCTGTTTCACTGAAGAATTCCTTTGGGTCCAACTGCTAAACGGCTAGACCATACATATTTGCACACATTGGTCCTCTAGTTTCTCACATTCTAATGATTTTACTGGTTTCACACCTTGCCTTTCTTTTAGCGCTTTTGTTTCGTATTAGCATACATCTCTCTTCCTGTGGAGTGTCTATTGCCATTGCTGCTGAGGAAATCTCCTCTTTGTATTCATCATTTGTAGTTGAGTGTTTCCAGAAAACAACAGGAATTCTTTAGAGCTATTTGTGTCAACTTTTCTTGCGGCATAAAACTATGGTTTTGACTTTTGATTTCATGCAGATAGTGAATGTTCCTGAGAAAGGGGCGAGGAAGCATCCTCGGGGTGATAACATACAGGTAACGGGCCCAAAATCCCACCCTGATTTATGATGTCATTTTTAAGATGCAGTGGGTATTCTCCTAATTTTATTTAGGAATGATAGCATTGCTTCTTTTATTGTTCTTCAGGGTTCCAGATGTTCCTCTTTTGGTTATGTATTCTTTTCATTCTTTTCTTATTTTTTTTTTTCTTTTTTTATTTTTTTTAAGGAGGAGAAGCTTGCTGTCTTTACAAAACTTGCATGTGGGTTCTACTGATTAGTGATTATTGATGCATTTTGGATATCCATTTTATTGGCTTTTATCGACAGTCCTTCAACAGCCTTTCCATGCATCTTGTCTGGCTTGTGGCTTGACTAGCATCAAATCCTCAGTTCCTTTATCTTCTCGAATGTTTTTGCTTCTAGTTCTATCATGTTGATGGTTATTTTATATGATTTCATGGTAGAGTGGATTCTTCTTCCAGAGACAAACACAAGGGGTTTCTCCTTGTAATGGACAAAATTATTTTTTCAATTAATATTTTTCCTGTAAGAAAACATGTTTTGAGGTGGGTTTTCTGAATTGTTCGGATATGTAAGATATGGACATATTGGTGCATGGATGTAGAAGGGCGAGTAGATTCAAGTTGAAGATGATAGGACTGATAGAATAATCATGACATGGGTTCAAGTGGTATAATTGATTTCAGATTTGAGTTTAGAGATGTTCTTCAAAATTGTGTTTTATTTTGGTTTTTCTAAACATTTTTTTAACTGCTTGGGAAACCATGTTTTAAAAAGCAGAAAAATGCAACTTTCTAAACTGTGATTTATTAAACTGTAAATACCAGAAAAAGAGGTCGCCCAAAACAGCCTAAACACCATCCTGATGCATACCTAGTAAAACATTAAGTCAGAATATATAGTCTCAATGTTAATATAATCGTCCAAAAGGACCAGTCTAACCCGTGCAACTAATTTGGGAGCAAAGTTTTAGGTGAGGTGAAGGAAATGGTAACTGTTCCATACAATGCTGACATATTATAGCGGATATTTGGAGGAGTGGACTCCCTTTGATCTGTATATGCAGAGGATGTTCTTTTCAGTAGGGTTTGAAACCAGTGTCAATTCCTTCTCATCATTGCTAAATGCAACTACTACTCTTAAAAACTGTCGTCTAAATCACCGGTTTACATTGTGTTGACATTTAATTTGTTCTCACGTGTTACTTGTGACTTTTCTGAAATGAATTTATGTTGACCCATGAAATTTTTTGTTATCATCATCATACTATGAGGATAATCATTATTCTAAATTATCTGTCGCTTTTATACATTATGCAGATAGATACTAAGGATATCCTGTTTATATGTGGAGGAGCGTTCGTCGATCTTGAGAAGACCATATCAGAGAGGTATTCCCTTCTCTAATAATATTCCCTGCATGAATACTGTGAAATTTAATTTGTTTCTGTTTCAGGGCATTATGAATTTGAAAGTTGAAACTATTTGTTATATTTTAACAGACGGCAAGATTCATCGATTGGATTTGGAGCACCTGTTCGTGCTAACATGAGAGCAGGTCGAGTAATCAATGCTGCAGTCACATCATCTTTGCTTGAATCAGTAAGACTGAAGATATTCTAAGTCAATTACATGGGAGCTTAAAATTACAATGCCTTTTGTTTCTTGATGACATAATTAAGTATGGTGGTTATTTAGAAGTAAAAAGGTTATGGCTGAAATTCTTCCTATATATAAACATGAAATTTAATTTGCATTGCAGGTTGAGAGTTCTGATCTTATAGCATACGGCCTTATACCAGAGTTTGTTGGGCGTTTTCCCATATTAGTTAGTTTGTTAGCTCTTACAGAGGACCAACTTGTGCGGGTAATACTTCAGTTCACCGAACAATTGTGTTTCTTCTCCCCTCATCCATGTTTTCTGGTTGCATATAAATACTCATTTATTGTTATTGGGGACTGAAAAGTAATTGCTGGTAAATAAAACACTTGATGATACCAACTTTGAAAATTTTGAATTTAGAAAATATTAACCTAGTTTACTGGCTTAAGTTTGGCTTGACTTTAGCTCCAAGTTGGAAATAATTATTATTTCTGACTTCACTTCCGCTTCAACTGGGTTCAATCAGATGCTGATTATAATCCACTTCTCAAATGCATGGCTACATTACCGTTTATGATGCCTTGAGCATGATATAGACTTCTTTCTTTTGCTTAAAAAATAAGCAAGGCACATTCTTGAATTTAGAACTTTGTGGGAAATTTTTTGGTGCGATTTGATTGGTTTTTGTTGACAGATCCTCACAGAACCAAAAAATGCTCTTGGCAAGCAGTACAAGAAATTATTTAGCATGAATAATGTATGATGCTCTCTTTCACTGTGCCTCTTTTTTTTAGTGGTTCTCTCTCTCTCTCTCTCTCTCTAACTATTAGAATTTAAATTTTCAGGTGACGCTTCATTTTACAGAAAAAGCACTAAGATTAATTGCCAAAAAGGCAATGGCTAAGAATACTGGTGCCAGGGGTTTAAGAGCCATATTGGAGAATATTCTAACTGAAGCCATGTATGAGGTATACAAGACTCCAAAAAACTTATTTGGATTAGAAGGGACACATAATGTCACCACGACGTGATTGTTATATACAAAGATTAAGGCGCTGTTTGGCATTGAGTTTGAAGCTGCTTTTCAAACCTACATAGAAAATTTTTTTTCAACTGCTTTAGAAAAATCATGATTTGGAGAAGGCTAAGAGATCTAACTTCTCCCAAATCGCAGTTTGTTAAAGTTACAATTCAAACGCAATGCCAAACATGCATCTAACTGATCTCATTGCTTCCATGTTTCAGATTCCCGATGTAAGAACAGGAAATGATAGAATAGATACTGTTGTAGTCGATGAGGAGTCTGTAGGTTCCGTAAATGCTCCTGGATGTGGTGGGAAAATTCTTCGTGGAGAGGGTGCACTTGAGCATTACCTTGCAGAATATAAGATGAAGCAAGCAATGGTACATTTCTTGTCTATATACTAAGATCCTATTCAGTGTAAATGAATTTTCATGAAATTTGCGGAATTCATTTGAATTCTACCTCAATAAATGTACGCGGCATGATGCATGTATCACTATGCATATGCTGATATAAATAAAGTATTGGGTTCAAGTTTCGATTTTGGATCATCTTTAGGGCAATGGGAAATTTCCGGACACAATATATTTCCTGCTGTAATGTTATTATTTGGTAGTAATCGGGTTCTCATGTGCACAAATATTTATGGTTATGTTTGTAGGAAAATGTTGAGGCTGCAGACACGGAGTTGCAAGAAGGCGAAGCAGAAGTATCATCCAGAGCCATGAGCATGTAATGTTTACTTATACGGTAGTCAGCCACTGTTACTATTTGTAAAATTGCTCTTTATTTGTAAAAGTCTCACATTTCATAATTGAATGTAAATTATCTCCATGTAAAAACAGCATAGCTTCTGATGATCATAAAGAAAATGAAAAGGAAAATGTACATTGCTAGTTTAAGCAGCACACTGTACAAAAATTTCGCTTCAATTTGATTAAATTTATCAATTTCTGAAATTTTATCTCTTGTGATTTCGGTTTCATATGGTTTTATCGGATGCTGTATCGTTATTTTTCTTTTCCCTCTTGTAAATTGCACTCTATTCAAAATTACAAGCTTTCTAACTGTAAGTAGTTAGTTACTTTTTCCCATGTGTTGGCTTAATCATAATACTAATGTCTTTTGCAAGGTTGTTCTTTCTACCTAAACCTATGAATTGTGGATATTTGAGGTACTTCTTTAATGTATGGATGGTACGAGGGAAGGCTTCTTGAAGCGAAGGGAAGGAAGGTATGGTGCGGTTAGGAGAGAGCAATATTCGGTTAAAAATGAACTAATATTTGAGGGAGTAGAATTTCTAATTATAGATAAATACCAAGGATTAGGTGGGCCAAAGATGGAAATGTGAAATTCAAAAATTGAAATATCAAAATTACTAAATTCCTTTTTTTTTTTTATAAAATACAACCAAAATATATAATTTCATTTATAAATAATAGAATTTCTTTTTTAAGTTATCAAATATGGAAATCTGAAACTAAAAAAAAAAAAAAAAAAAAAAAAAGGCAGTAGAATTTCTAATTATAGCATATAATACAAGGGCATTAGGTGGGACCAAAGATGAATGCATTTGAAATTTCAAAATTGAAATACTCAAAAAATTTACTAAATGGTCCTTTTTTTTTTTTATAATAATACACCCAAAACTATTATAATTTTCATTTTAAATATAGAATTTCTTTTTTTAAAAGTTATTCAATATGGAAATGCTGAACTAAAAAAAAAAAAAAAAAAAAAAAAAAAAAAAAAAAAAAAAAAAATTATACAGATTTTGTGGAACTAATTTATCCTAAACAGGATATTTAAATATATCTAAATTTGTGTGCTTTTGGTTGTTTAATGTTTATCTCATCTGTCAAAAAGCCAATAAAATCTTTAATTTAGATGGAATACAGTAAAATCGGCAAAGTTGTTTCTTTCCTCTTAATTTTGCTTTATCTGAATGGCTTATCTACTTCTTTCCCTCATTAGTTTATTTAAGTTTACATATTGGAAATGATACTTAAATATATCTAAGTTGTCAAAAGAAAAAATTCAGAAATTTTAGTTATGGGTCCAACTACCTTTTTTTTTTTTTTTTTTTTTTTAAAAAATTTTCAAAAATTAACTATCTTTAATGATCCTTTATTAAAAAATATTCTCTAATTATCCTTAATTTGATAGTAAAATAAAAAAATGAAGAAACATAAAAATTATATCGATCCAGAACTTATAAATTTTTCGCAAAATTCACTATTAATGTCAAAGAAAAATTTATCAAATTTAGTTAAATTATTAAATAGTCAAAACCAGTTAAACTAGAGGAAAGAAAAAAAAAAAAAAAAAAAAAAAAGCACCCAATGAAAATGAGAACCATAAAGTTTAATATATTTCAGAATTATATTATTATTATTATTTTGAGAATATATTTAGTTTTTTTGGTAATTAAGTTTTGGCTAGAATAATAATAATAATAATAATAATATTGAGACCATTTTTATTTTGTGGAAAATTGGATTATAATATTAAGATAGTGTTTTGGTTTTTTAACCGAAGATTACTTATACAGCTAAACACTATCCATATGGATATTACTAAGATATGCATCGCTAGATAGAGATCTTCCTTACTTGCTCCGCTTACTGCCTGCCTATAAATACACAGAGCCCTCTTCGTCCATTCGTTGTGTGTTTATACAAAGCAAAAGAGTTGAAATAGCAAAGCAAAAGAAGAGAACAAAATGACAAACTCCAGCCCATTGATTGTGTGTTTTGGAGAGATGCTCATTGATTTTGTGCCGGACGTAGCTGGCGTTTCCTTGGCGGAGTCCGGTGGTTTTATCAAAGCACCTGGCGGTGCACCCGCCAATGTTGCTTGTGCCATAACCAAGCTTGGTGGTAGCTCTGCCTTCATTGGCAAGTTCGGAGACGATGAGTTTGGGCACATGCTGGTCAATATCTTGAAGAAGAATGGAGTTAACAGCGAAGGCGTGCGTTTCGACGAGAATGCAAGAACTGCATTGGCTTTTGTGACGTTGAAGAAAAATGGAGAAAGAGAGTTCATGTTTTACAGAAACCCTAGTGCTGATATGCTCTTGAAAGGAGCCTTCATTGGCAAGTTCGGAGACGATGAGTTTGGGCACATGCTGGTCAATATCTTGAAGAAGAATGGAGTTAACAGCGAAGGCGTGCGTTTCGACGAGAATGCAAGAACTGCATTGGCTTTTGTGACGTTGAAGAAAAATGGAGAAAGAGAGTTCATGTTTTACAGAAACCCTAGTGCTGATATGCTCTTGAAAGAATCTGAATTGAATCTTGATCTTATTAAGCAAGCCAAGATATTCCATTATGGATCTATTAGTTTGATAACTGAGCCGTGCAGATCGGCTCACATGGCAGCCATGAAAGCCGCCAAAGCCGCCGGAGTTTTGCTTTCTTATGATCCTAATTTAAGGCTTCCTCTTTGGCCTTCTTCTGATGCTGCTAGAGACGGCATCAAAAGCATATGGAAAGAAGCTGATTTTATCAAGGTAATCAATTCTTTATAATATGTAATAAATTCACTTTTGCTTGCAGATCGAACCGGATGTTGGTTAATTTATAATAATTTGGTTTAGGTGAGTGATGATGAGGTGGCATTCTTGACACAAGGAGATCCTAGCAAAGAAGAAGTGGTGCTTCAATTGTGGCATGAAGGCCTCAAGTTACTAGTAGTGACAGATGGAGAAAAGGGTTGCAGATACTTCACCAAGAGTTGCAAAGGAAAGTTGGGTGGGTTTTCTGTTAAGACAGTTGACACAACTGGAGCAGGTGACGCTTTTGTCGGTTCATTTTTGTGCTCTGTTGCTAAAGATACTTCAATTTTTGAGGTACTTTTCCTTTTTTCCTTTATATTATATATATGTTAAATAATAATTTATTCAAGTTGTAAGGCTAATTAGTATTATTATTATGAATGAATTGCAGAATGAAGAGAAATTGAAGGCGGCATTGACATTTGCTAATGCATGTGGAGCAATTTGTACAACTCAGAAAGGAGCAATTCCTGCCCTTCCATCCCCTTCTGAAGCTCAAGCACTAATCAAGTCCAAGTCCAACTAGTCTTTTTTTTTTTTTTTTTAATGTTAATTCCAATGTTCAGCAGGAAATAATTAATTAAATAATTAGAGTTTTGTTCAACTATTTTTTTCAACATTCTCACTATATACTCTCTGCTTCCTTTAATTTTATGCCATAATTAATACTTAAAAATAAATTCAACTGAATACCCTCAAAAAAAAAAAAAATGATTGAGCTAAGCAAAATCACATAAAATCCCCTTATCAAATTAAATGATTAATATATAGTTTGATGATTGATAAAAATATAATATTTAATAATAATAATAATAAAACATTCAAATACTTAAATTCTGATAATTAATACATAAAAATTATATTTACTTAAAATTTAAATTTAAATTAAATAATGAGAATAAAATTAATTAGTAATCATAATTGGTTATTTAGCTTGTAATTTTTACTTTTTAGTACAGTATTTTATTTGTAGTATTCCTCCGCAGAATTTATTGTACAACTTCAGGTAAAAAAACTAATAAGCGTTTGCATGTGTAATAAATTAATAATATAAAGTTGTAATCCTCTGTGTAAATGTGTAATAAATTAATGTAAACCTCTGTGTGTAAGAAGGTGGGTGATTGAATAGATAATGATAATATGTAGTAGATAAGAGAAGGAATGTTGTATAAAGAAAGTATGATCCTTTGTGTTGAAAGCTCAGTGATGACATGGAATAGCTGTGTGGAACAATAAAGAAGAGAAGCAATACCAAAATACAAATTTATTTTTCGCAGTAGTTCTTTACGAAGCATCGATCCGTTTAATGTAATGGTGCGGGGGTTTGGAACGCATTATTATATCATGAAAAGTTCGCCTGGGCTAATTTGATCATATGAGAGAGATATGGGGAGTGAAAAGAGCCTAACTCACTCTAACAACCAAAATTCAATACAAGAGCCTAACTGTAAAAAGAGGACATATTTGTGTTCACTGTCGCTTCCTACCTCTGTTTTAATGATTATTGAGCAAGTCAGTTTTCAATTGTATGAGAATCAGTAGCAGTTTGCATCAAGATATCAACAAGCCACATGATAATCAAGATACCTCATTTGCATGTCCATCTTTTGCCAGCAAAACTCTCACCTGATATAGAGATATCGCCTGTCAGCTTGCCATCGGAGATGCCAAATTACCTGGAGATATCCTATTTGGTAAAGGCCTTGCAATAAGTCCATCTGCAATCCAACCAACAGATTCACTATCATTTCTGACATGGCTGAACTCCCGTTGCATATATTCCAAAGATATCTGTAGCCTCCCGCCTGGTCTGCAATCAGCAGATGTACCTCTGGCTTCAAGTCCAGCATTTCCCTCTAACCAGTACAAATAATTCACTTGGAACAGTGCCTTGAGCATGTCTTGCCCTGAACAACTTTCTTTAAGCACCACCTGATCCCAGCCAATATTCGAACACAACATTCAAAAACACTAGTAAGTTCAATGCGTTGTATTAAACTTGCCTCTCAAATAAAGGCAGCAACAGTGTGAGTGCTAATCCTTTTCCCTTTTTTCTCCCCTTCAAAAAGAGAAGAAAATGGTATTTAAACAATAGACACATGTATGCCATACAAATCAAACTAGGGTGGTCATATTCCCTGAAATCATTTAATCCAAGATAGCCCACTCCGAGAATGCAAGAAGTTCAATGGCTTCCAGTTGAAAGGAACAATTTTCAAACAAGAAAAATCTGAAGCAGGATCATTAATGCAGGGATTTCGGGCCTTTTTCACCTCTTCCATAGAGCACGCAGAACGAAGAAGATACAAACTAACACTCAAAGTGTGAAGCATATAAAACTATGTATAGAGGTGAAGAAAAGAAAACTTTTAGCACTAATTTGCTCCTTCAGTTGAGACAGTAAGTGAGACCAAAAAATTCAGACTTAAAGTAAAGGAGGTACAAAAGCTTACACAGAATCTTCCTTTGTGCTCAGTCAAAATGTAGCTTTCATCTCTATACAGATTAAACAGTGCAAGCACTTCATCCTTGCTGTTCACAACATCACTGAGCTTTGACCCTAGCTGCAGCCGATTCTCAATCTCAGCAGCTGCAGCCCTTGCTTCTGAAGATAGTACAACTAAGTGCGGCTGAGACATAAATCCACACAAATAGAATATAACTAAATGAACTTGCAATTTAAAACATTATAATTTTTCATGGCAGAAATAACATCAACTATTTAAGGAGGAACTTCAGACTTCCACACAGAAAGCAACTCACTTTGCCCACAGAGTTAATATTAAGGAAAGGTACAGCTGGAAAAAGTGGTTCCTCATCATTAACCTCTTTGATGGAAGGAGCTTGGCCACTAAGCAGATATTCACTAAAAACTAAACCTGCAAAAATAATGGAAGGGAATTTTTCTCCATGATACGATATATGTATATATATATTGATGAACTAATTCAGTCTGATGACAATAGTGAGGAGGAGAATAATGTTTGTCAGTTACAGCTAAATCAGTGAACCCCAGCAGCAGTCTCAGGGTCAGGCTGGTTCATCATAAAATCCTTTTTTTCAAATTAATTGTTGTAGACATATTTCAAATGTTGAGCTGGTCCAAGACATCATTAGGAAACTAATCCAATTGAGGGAAAGGATGAACGAGAGAATAGACAAAAATTACTTGCACGATAGGGGTTTAAGGTTCTCAGTTGAATGGATTGATATGACTTCAGATTGCAGAACATGTGGATCCATGTTACCACACTGAAAGAAGCAAGGGCAAGTGGAGTAGAAGAGCCTATGCAGTTAGCCAGTGCTATCCCAAGCATGATACCAATAAACTTGCTCACCATTCCTTGAGCTTCACCCTTTGCAATTACCTAAAATTAATAATTGCTTCAGAAAGAGATACTACAGACCAAGGTAGAAATGTACCAAAAAAAAAAAAAAAAAAAAAAAATAATTTGCTTCAGAAAGAGATACTACAGACCAACGGTAGAAATGTACCAAAAAAAAAAAAAAAAAAAAAAAAAAATCTGGCACCATTGCTAGCATTAGCTAAGAGGCTCATGGCACATGAATTTCATGAAGACGATAGGAGCAAAGAAGATTCCTCTACTATCAGCTTCAATAAAAAAAAAAAAAAAAAAAAAAAATCGGCACATGCTAGCATTAGCTAAGAGGCATGGCACATGAATTCATGAAGACTGATAGGAGCAAGAGATTCCTCTACTATCAGCTTCAATTGCATTTCAGGATTGGTAACCCCAAACAATGTTGTTTTACCTCAGCAAAGTTCCTTTGAGCAGCAAAACCAGCGTAGAAACAGCTTCTAGTAGCAGCCTGTAAATTATGTGAACTATCAGCAACTCTACATCATGACATAGGTTATGCTGAAAGTGATATTACGATTGCATACAGTATTTAATAGAGCTTCACCCTAGGAAAGTAAAAGAAATGCTCAATGCCAATTGCATATGAAAGAAAAAAAAATTGGAAAAAAAAAAAGAGCCAAAATAAAGTATATACCTGTCACAACTTGAAACTTACACGTAACATGAAAAATCATATTCCAAGAAAAATTTGCCAAAGTTTTCTTTTGGCAATATATTCTATTGTCCTAATTATCTACCACATCGTTATAGAAGTAGCAAAAAAATATTGTAAAGTGCTTTATAGGCAGAACTAAAAATAGGTTCACATGAAAGTAATGACGTTTCAAGTCCAGAAATTGTTGGTCTTGTTTAACACTGCATATCAGCATTAGTAGGTTGAAATACCTGGATAAGAGAAGCAGCAGAGCGTCCAGCTCCAGCAGCAGCACCAATGAAAACAAATAGGTTAGGAAAAGCAGGAGTCAAAATCTCCAATCCAAAGGCAGCATTTTCCAAAAGATCTGCAAACAACCTCCATCCTTTGGGATTTACATCAAAATGGCGCCCAAATTTGGATAAGATGATTTTGCTGAGATACCCAAGTCCATCCTTGAGGACCCAATTGATGGCAGCTGCTGTTGGAATTGCTCCTTTCCCCAACCCAACAGCATAAAGCAATGCCTATTTATTTGTTAATAAGCAGAAGAAAAAATTTAAGTAGCTGCAGCACCACAAATGAAAGGGAATGAATTGAAAGAAAAGGGAAAAAAATATTACAAATAATACTTTAAGAATGATGTGTACCTGGGTGGCAAGAACACCACTTATTTGGCTGGCAATACCTTGGACACCCCGCCAAAGAGAGTAATCCAAGTAATCAGATGTAACACTGAGAGGAAATCCTTCAGGAAGCATAAGACGAATAAAGAGCACTTTGCATTGCAGCCATAAGTTTTCCCCAATATTCAACCATGATAGTGATGCATTATCATGCAATGATGAAGCAATGAGGAATTCATCTTTGAAGAAATCAGGAATGATCCTAATCCACTTGCTTCCTCTAATTTCCCAGATGCTAGCATCAACAGCATCTTCTTTCTCGCTATCTGAAGAGAGAATTATTCTTGCAAGTGAAGCAGAAGCAAACTGCAAGTGGATAAAGCACAAAAACACCACAGAGCAGCTTAATAACCAGACAAAGGGATTTTGATTCTTGGAAGAATCACAACCATCATTCCACCACCATGGATCATCAGGATTATTGTTATTGTTATTGTTGTTGTTGTTGTTGTTATTCTGACCACCATCACTACTCTCCAAAGGAAAATTGAAAGGTAAAGGGTTGCTTTCAGTAATTGCTATTTCCCGATTGCAACATTTGGTCCTAGTTTCTGGTAATGCCTTGAGATGAAGTATAGCATCAGCATGAAGGGCTTTTGATGAAAGATGGAAAGGAAAAAGAGGCAATGATTGCATAACGGAGCTTCTATGACTATAACTTCTATTGAGAGTAGTTGGTGGCAGGGTAATAGCAATGGAAGTAGACATCAACTTTCCACAAAAGAACAAGGACTTGCAACTGCAACCCATTTTATATATTCCTTTCGTGCTTCTTAATAGAAGAATAAGAAAAGAAGGTCTTGCTTGTTTCTGCAGAAATGAAAGAGAGAAAGGCCAAGAACTGCTTGATTTTAACTTAAATTGAAAAAATTAAATTTGTGAATCAACTTATATTAAAGTCAAATTTCAGAATTGTATAATTAAACAATGGACGATAACTTTCTTCAATCTAGAACTTGCATCACATGTGCAAGAACGAATCAACTACACAAGTGCCAAAGAAAAGCCACCAATTGTGCACCATTTCTCATCAAAATTCCATCCAATCAAGACTTCCACATTGATTCCACGAAATTCAACCTGAACTAGGATTATAGTCGAACTAATACAGAAATTTAACTTAATGAGGAACTTTTTTCAGAAACTGAATTTAGGCTTAAAGCATGTATAAAATTTGAAGAACAATTAGAAGGTTTTGTTGCATTGAATAATGCAGCTAAAGCTCATACACGAATGGGAATCAGTATTTTCTTTGGCCTCTAACAAGGGAAGCAAGGTAAGATATGTCAATGCAGAAGAAGCTATCAGAATTTAGAATTTGCTGAAACAACAATCAAGAGTCGTCAAATCTAGTTTGAACCTGCATAAAAGTAATGTCGTTTTTTAAATTCCTTCTATAGCATATGTATGTCTTTGACCAAAATGCCAAATTTAAGTTGAGAACAAAACACTCAAATCAACATGGGGAAATCTCAAACACTTAAGAACACATAAATTTGTTTTCCCACCTACCTATACACAATTCATCCAAAACCCACTTGCGACAACAAAGTAAAAGGCCGTACCTTTTCTCAATTTTGCTTCTAGGCAAACCTATGGGTATCTCAAAATCAATAACATTACGCCCTGAAATATCTCCTACATCAATGTAACAGAAGTCATAGGAGTAACAGCAGCAGCAAAAATGAGCCAATAGTTAAACAGGCATTTTATCGAACACCTTGACTCCAAATTAAAGACAGCCAAAGTACGAAAGCAAGAGAAGACTACAGAATGAAGTGAAATTACCTTGCAGTCTCCCCAATTATAAGCACATTGAAAAGAGGTGCTAATGGGATACAGGTGAAATGTAGCAACAGCAGCGTAGCTTTTTCAACTCTAAAGTCTCAGTTAATTAATTCACAAGACCAGCCGGAGAGGACAGCAGGCATGTCTCTAGAGAAGCCAGCTATGCTACTGATTGGAAAATATAAATAAGAGGAAATTTATAAATTTTGCTCCAGATTTTCGTGAGGTTATTTAAAATTTCCAGAATTTCCAAAATACTCATAAAAGACAACTTTTCAAAGTTAGTTTAGGCTGTTAGAATTAGAATTTAATATTCTGCTAGTTACCTACCAAAAGCAGTTGGCTAAATCATATATTCACCCCAAACTTTTCAATTATTTTTTAATTTCACCCTAAATTGACTTCTCTCCCTTGGATTGGACACTTCAATTTTTAGCTTTAATAGCAATTGTATCCTAAAATCAATTTAGGTTTGGCTATAAATAGTGTGACCTACTACTTAATCCAGCTGACTTAAGTACACTCTAATTTGATCTTTTATGTTAAAATAATTAAAAAAATTCTATACTAGCTAGTGTCATCCAAGTACACCATGAATGTTTTATGGACACTATTTTTATTATATATTATTTTAATTGAATTTTCAATCATAAATTTATACTAGCTAGTGTCATTCCAATTTACCACCATGAATGTTTATGGACAACTATTTTTATATTTATATTATTTCAATTGGAATTTCAATCATTGAATATTTACGATAATTAATTTGTTTCAAAAAGATATGATTATTATTTTTTAACTTTTAAAATAAACTTCAAAATGCAATATTATATATATATATATATATATATATATATTATATATACTAAAATCATATATAAACATCTATAAAAAAAAGTATTGTTTCACACATTTTATATATATATCACTTTTAAAATTTTGATTTTTTTTTTTCACAGATCGGAATTTGTTCATTCGGAGGTTGAGGTATATTTGAGTTCTTTTTTATTATTTATTTTAGAATTTTGTTTCTTTTATTTGATTTTCATGAACTCAAATCAACATCTAATAACATAGGATCATATTACTATTTAGTTTTTTTAAAGAAATCGATGCTAATTAAAATCTAACCTTATCACTTTCAAAAAAATTGAAGTCTAATCTTATAATTAATAATAATTTTTTCATTTTATCATCTATAATTATTTTATTAAATATACTTTTAAATATTTATTTGACTTTTTAATGGTTGTCTCTTTCCATTATTAAAATTAGTTTAAAGACAGAAAAATAGTTTATTCGCTTATAATATAGAATATTATTATAAATAGAAACTAAATTTTTAATTTAAAGCTTTGTTATTTATACACAACAATTCAGTGTCTTTAACATAATATAAATATTTTAGAAAGAATCTAAAACAGAGAAAATAATATAATCAATACTTTAATCTATATAAGAATAAATTAATGAGTAATAAAACAATTAGAGTCATTTAAATACCGAATAATAAATAAACGTGCAACGTACAGTCATAAAAAAAAAAACACTAGTAATGAATAAATATTTGCGAAAGAATTAACGTTATAGGCTCTTAAAAATAATAACGTGATTTAATGAGAGGGTTTGAAAAGAAGGGGGACTTTTTTATTGAAATTCTTAAATACTCAAATTTATTTAAGCTTTTAATGTTTTAGTGTTTTACCATTTATAATCACAATTTTTCTTAAAGCAATCATTATCCGTTATGTTTTCTCCCCTCCGAATTCATCTAATATAAACAATTGTTGTCTTTTTTTGTCATTTTTTAGCGGTTAAATCAGTTAATTGACAGTTATTGTTACTGAACAAGCTTATATAAAACAATAACAGTTAAAGCTTAATAGCTAAACAGCTAACTGCTAACATACAAACAATTAATTTATGCTAAACAAAACCCTTTCATGAACCGAAAGCTATTAAGGAACTTCATAAGCTTGTGTGGATATTGCTTGAGTTTTTGACTGAGCGATGGCTTTCAATATGGCTGGCATTGGTTATTCTAACCATTCATTATGAGAAAGAAAATGGTTAAATTTAATGTTTAGATTAGCGCTTTTTGAGTGTTTGTGTTAAAAGGAAAGGGGAAAAAAAAAAAGAACGACAGGAAGGGGACATGAAGTGATAGAAAAAAAGGAGATGACTTCTTTTTCATGGATGATGGGATTGAGATGGCAAACTTTTAGAAAAAAATTGTAAATTATTAGGCCTTTGGTGTGGGCGAAAAAGGACATGATATTTTGGGTTTTTTAGATTTAGTAAACCACTAAGTTTTTTCCTAGCTCTTTTTTGATAAATTATTTATCATGTGTCTCAACTTCAAATTCTAATCTGGTACATCCTCTCTCTCTATTTTGGACATTTTCTTAGATTTTATTTTTTTGAACCACCGCCAGATCGTCTCTTTGTTGTTCCGATATTAATGGTTTTCTTTTCATTTCTTTCTATTATTTTCTCTTAGTTTATAATTTTTCTTTCTAATAATTTCTAAAACATTTGATTCGCTTTGGGGAACAAAACTTAAATTTAGTCTTTAGATCTTAATATCAGTAGATATTTTAAGTATTCTTTTTTGGTTACCTTCTTATGAGGTTATTTAATTTCTTTGCTCCTTTCATTGTTTTTGGTACCCCTTAGTGGGGTATAATTTCTCTCCTTCTTATGAGATTCGTTGTTGGTTATTTGAGGAGCTTTTGATGTGGATCTTTATTTCCCTTTTTGGCAGTTTCGAAAATTACAAGATGGATTATTGGTTAGTTTGGTAGTTGGAGGACTTCAGAGATACTTTTAAAGTTCACGAGTTTGGTAAGTTTCTTTACAACTGGGACTTAGCTGTGTGGTTCGTTCCTCCATTAATTTGATATTTTAAACCTCTTCTGAGTGGGGGTATCAGTATTGGTTTAACAAATTTTCGAAAAAAAAAAAAATAATGTCGAGGGGAACAATTATTATTGACAAAGTTTCTTTTGTCGTTTATATTTGTGGAAAACGATCTTGATCCTGCTAATTTTTACTTGGAAGATTAGCATCTTCTTACCGCGAGACCAAGATCATCCTCAAAAACATAGAGATTTCAATTTTCTATGTTTATGATTATCTTATTGGCGATATGATAATTTTGCCCTCTGTGAACTTTCATTGAATTGTCATTCTATGATCCCTTTAAACTTGGCTTTTTTTTTGTAGTTATTGGTACCCTTGCCACGCTAGACGAATCAGTGAGACATGCGTGGAATAGGGAAAATCGTTGTAGCAGGAGAGCTTGAACAATCGATTATTTTGAAATTCCACGAACAAGGTCGTAGAAAAGGAAATTTGACCGTTTCTGTATTCTGACACACTGTCTTTAGACACAAATTCCACGCCTTTAATCAAACTAAAAAAACTAAATTCCCTTATCTCTTTTCTTTCCATTCTTCTCCTCTCCTTGGTTCTCTTATTTTTCTCCCAAGGAATAATAAAATTAGGGTTCTTGTAATTAGATTGGGAATTCAACTTCAGACGTCCAGCAAATTTTTGAGGGTTTGTAATTGTTGATCCACGTAAAACAGTGATTAAGGTCTCCTGCACAATGCGACCCGGATTCTCTCTCTTCTTTTTTT